GTATACAGGTGTTATATTTAAATCAATTTTTATTACTTTAGTTTTATTCATATGGAAATTTCTAATATTTTTTTTCATGTCAATCAGTTATAATGTGAGGAGGTCATTTTATAATACTCCGACTAGAAATGCAAATTTTTATATAAATGAGTTAGATATCATGTAACACAAATAGATGAAATTTGTCTCACAATTCATAATTTATATTTATATTTTACTATAGATGCGAATACACAATTTTTAAAAAATTATTTTCCAGTTCGAGTGGATGCCCTATACTTAAGATGTTCTTGATTTCTTGCCGCCTATTTGTAGAGAGAGCCCTAATTTGTGGATGACCAAAGTACCATTGATCTGTTTTGAGATTTGTAGAGATGCATGTGCCAGATCATGTTTTACAATAATTTAATTTAGGATAACATTTGCCTAATCCTGTTGAGCAAATCAATTGCATGCGTCAGATAACATCACATCGTGTGGACCGGAGGAGTTATCGTGAGGTCTACATAATTAGGTGGAATGACAGACATAATCTTGTAGAGCGTGAGAGAGATCTTCACTTTCCTATACAGAGTATATGTGTTGGTATTGGGCTATCACACAGATGGATCATACATGATCGACACCCAGTAGCTGGATTCATTCCACGCCTCCCATCAGAGACTTACATGCCAAGAGGTCTAGTCGAGAGAGATCATGTAAGTTTTTAAACCCAACCTTGTTGACAATTCTTCTTTTGAAATCATATGGCTTGCTAAGCTGTGTATCTTCAAATTAAAATGCAAGTCCATGCGTTTGATGATATTGAAGAACATATAAATGAGGACATTGCTGAGGTTCACTCCAAATGCACTATCAATATTCAACAGGGTCAAACAACGATAGTTAATATTTCCATAGGAATCAAGTTGACGAGTTTGAAGGCCGTGATAACAGGACATGATAATTCATATAGATGTACACGCGAAGAAGTAAGGCGGGCTCTTCTACACTGCGTGATGATGAAGCTGATACTTCTCAACGTGCTCCACCTAATGAGGATGATCTACCTACTACATAGCCTCATACACAGCTAGATCATGAGATTATCGAGGCTCATGTTCACAAAAGTTGGGGGCAGTGGGGAGGAGTAAAAGAGGGAGAGGAAGGAGGAGAGGATTGCTATGATGTATGTGACTTTTCTATATGATATGATGTTTGTATTGTGATTTTAAAAGTTTCGTGAATATATAGGGTTGGACAGTTCAAAAAGATATGTATTTATGTGGTTGAATTTTTGAGTATTTATGTAGTTAAAATTTTATATATTTATTTTATTGGATTTTCGTGTATATGTAGTTGGTTAGATTTTTCGTATATACATGTGACTAAAATTTCCGTGTATGTTGATATTGTCTATATAACATAGGCTATGAAAAGATAGTGTATATATTGAAAAATAGGTGACAGACAGCAGAGTGCTGCTTGAGTGAGTCTACATCTCTATGGAATTCTCAATCCCACAAAGTTTGTAATGTATACAAACTTCACGGGATTGGAGATACATACGCAAACTTCACGGGATTGAGAATCCCATGAAGATTTCCATTGCAAGAAACTTCGTGGGATTCCTAATCCCATGAACCTTAGTGTAGGTTTAAACTTCACGGGATTAGGAATCTCGTGAAGTTTAATTATGTACTAAACTTCACGGGATTCTCAATCCTGTGAAGTTCGTGGCAAAATATTTTTCAAATTTGACCCAGTTTCAATCCACATTGCTAGTATTGAATTCGCTAAATATTTCGCAACTACATCGAAAATGGTGAGTAAGTTTTAAAAATTATCCATTTTGAAAATTTGTCCAATAATTTAATAATTTATACTAGCTACTTTGCACTTTTAATATGGTTAGCTAACTATACATTTTCAATAGTCATCAATATAGGATTTGCTCTTTCAATAGTTTAATATAGAGTTTACTATGGTCATGTATTATTTAATATTTTAGTATGCTCATTTTAACATTTTATGTTTTGGTTTCTAGTATGGATGCTTTAACATTTTATATTTTGGTACTCACTGAATTAGGATCAGCTATTTTAATAATATAATATTTTAATTCAACATGACAATCTAGTAGTGTGTAAATTAATATTTTAATATTTTGATATTTTAATTTGTAAAATGTAGGTTGTTTTTAATATAAATACTTCAATTTCCACTCGTTGAGGTTGTCATGGCTACTCTTATGTTCTGATTCTTGTTAACTTGATCTTGTTCATCTATCGTGACATTTTCATTTGGGATGAATATAGCTATACTTGCACAATTTGCATTATAAGTTTACAGTGTATTCAGAGTTTTCTCAAGCTAAGTTTTTTGTGTACTCGCATTTTATAGAGGAAGTTGGAACGTATTTTTGAACAAATATTAGTGGTTTTTTTAAACTTTTGACTAGATTAAAATTATTTTTTTAAAAGGCTTGTCAATATTGACCTCCTTAACCTTCTTTAATTGCCAAACACAAAAAGTTAAGCCATTATCTTAATTATCTAATCCAAACAAAATTTAACTATTTTTAATCATTCGTGATGGAATAACTAATTTAATCATTCCACTCAATCCTTCTTCATTCACCTTTGCCAAACAGTAGTTTTTTAAAGTGTTTTTTAGTGTTTGTTAGCTGCTCATAAAATATTGGATTATTTTTGAAAAACTCCCCTCAACTATTTCCATTCAAGCAAATCGGTTAAATTTGTAGGTGTTATAAGTAACTCATGTGAAGGTTTCAAAATCCGGCTTAATCTCCAGAACTCATGGTGTGCCTCATAAAACCCCTTGATCCTGCACCGTTCTTAGCAAAAAAACTCCTATGTAGTTACACCAAAAATGGAATTGATCAAATATCGTTTTGTTCAAAAGCAATGCGTCGTTAGACTTTTTCAATGAGATTTGCTTGAACTATGGAGTTTGGCAAAAAAAAGTTATGATTTTGGGAATAAGAAATAAAATTAGATAGTAAGAGTCAATTGCTGCTTTCAGTTTCATCTCACTTACAAAAAAGCTGTGAATCGATTTGTCACATATGTTACATGTTTGCCAAAATCATTTAGACTGGACATAATATTTTTTTGCCTAGGATTATCCAACACTAGCTGCAAATTAAAAGTAAGCTAAGAAGCATAAATCTAATGTAGGGTCTTCTTTCACTAATTTTTGTATTTTGGAATCATCTCCAATACAAGGTTTTAGCTCGACTTTGGCGTGGTACACAAACTTGTCTCATTCGTCGGGCCTATAATGTTATTACCAATGATACTACAATGAGGATAACATAATTTAAGATATGGTGGAGTCAATAATTTTCCTTTTATAATGGATGTGTATTCAACTCAAACTTGAAACAATAAAAGGCAAAATTAATTTCACGGTCATAAGAAAATATTTCTAGGTCTAGTCGGAAAAACCATCTACGTACATCCGTTTTTCTTATATGACAAATTTATATACATTTTACACTAACTGTTTTTCAACTATAACATTAAATCTAAATTGAAATTATGTTCCTCGGGTGGCGAGGCAATATAATTGTAAATAATCAAGCAATGAATTTGAAGTTGATTTTCATAGTAAACCAAACAATTTGCAGATAAAACTCTCCGATTGGTTTGCGAAAAACACCTCTAGCCATTTATCGTGTTTCCCCTTCTCTTTCTCGTGTCTCTCTTTTGCGGATTAAAAATGACCAAATACACAATTTATTTCACAGGTTAGGACGCGTTTGGATGTTTGTTTTTGAGAGGGTTTTGGGGGTGAAACCTGACATTTTGTCAGAAAATGATAGGTTTTCACCCAAAAACGCCTCTATTAGGCCCCGTTTGGTTCCGGTTTTTTGATGGCTAAAAAAGGGGAAAAGCTGCCAAAAATGTGAGCTTTTTAACAGTTTTCCCCCAAAATCGCCTCTATAAGAGGCGATTTTGGAGGAAATCTGCTAAAAAGCATAGAGGAGATTTTGGGAAAATCTGCTAAAAAGCATAGAGGCGATTTTGGGAAAATCTGCTAAAAAACTGATATTTTTGGCAGCTTTTTTCTCTTTTATCCATCCAAAAAATTGATCCAAATAGCCCCTTAGGGCATCTCCAACAGCTTCTCTAAAATTTTTTTCAAAATGAAGAAGCAAAAGTCATATTCTCCAAATTATTTTTACACCAACTCCAACAGCTTCCCCATTTTGAAGAATCCCTTTTTTCCTCTAAAATTTTGGAGAATGCTGCAGATTTGGGGAAGCTTTCCTATTTTTTCTCTCCCATCTCTATTTTGAGGAATGAGATGAGAAATCTGTTAGACCAAAAACCTAACTAAATTCTCCAAAAATAGGAAATAGAAAAGCTATTGGAGATGCTCTTAGAGGTGTTTTTGTTAAAGACAAAATGTCAGGTTTTCACTGCTTAAAAAAAACATCCAAGCGCGCCCTTGCGCATAGACATTTTTGGTCATTTGTGTGGTGGGCCCTCTTTTTTGGTTTTATCAACGAAAATAGGACGTGCAGTGCAGGCGTGCTGAGGAGCATCCAGCCAATTCCTAACTGACAGCTGGCATGTCCAGCACGTACGCAACCTCCGTCTCCTCCCAAGCTCCCAACGTGCTCTCCGCGCCCACTGTACGCTCGATCCTATCCGTTCTTGCTGCCATTTCTTGTAACCCATCTCCCCTCTGTAACGTCGACGAAACCATAAAAACCCAGATATTTTCTCTTTCTACCTCTCGGCCGCTATCATCAGCTACCCAAAAAACGACCTAAAATAAATAAAAAAAACATGTCCGCCGCCGTCCGATCGCGAGCTCTGCCGATGGGCCGCCGCCGCCGGCCGCCAGCCACCACCGAGTCCACCCACCTCTCCTCCCACCGCATGCAGCGCGGCCGCCTCTCCCGAAGCCTACACGAAGTCCGCCACACACGCCACCCGCGATGGGACGAGTCCCGAACCCCGCAGCACCCCCGCCACTTCGTCTCGTTCCAGGGCATCTCGTCGACCGAGGCTCTCTCAGCTCAGCCGACTCGATTATCACTGCCAGGTGCAACGGCGATCCTCCGAGATCTGGCAGCAGCCTGGGGATTCGAGCTCGAGTTCGGGGGATGGGACGAAGTCGGCGAGCTTGGGGAGGATTAATATGATTAGGGTTGCAGGCGGAGGAGGAGATGGGTTTGGGTCGAAGGCAGGGTGCTGGGGTGGATCCAATTTGGGGACTGAGTTCCCGACGCCGAAGGAGATTGTTAAGGGTTTGGACAAGTTTGTTATTGGGCAGGAGCGAGCAAAGAAGGTAACTTTGTGGACTTTTGGGTTTGGAATTCGATAGATAGAAAAAAATTGGGAGGTGAATTATTCAAAAGTTAGCGGTGAAAAGATGTATGATACATTTGATAAAATAAAATTTTTCTGCTATGGTTATTCGAAATTTTCATAGCAAGTGCTAAGAGCGTAAAAAGTTATGGTGCTACTAATTGCCAAGACCAGAGTCCTCATAAAACTAGGTTATCTGTAAGATTACTCTGATAACATTAGGTCATGCGACACAAAGACATAACCTTTGACTTTGATCGACGTGTAACTTGTATGCATTTTGGGAACTGACGAAATATTTTGTAAATGCTTGATAGAAGTTGAAAATTGTGACAATGTCAGAAACTTGGAGAAGGGAAGGGTGTTGAAAACATTTTTTTCCCCACATCAATCTGTGAGATATATGATTTTGTATATTTCTTATTCTGACTTCAGACTATAAAACAGTGTATTATAATGAACACTAATGCGGTGAATGCTTGTTTCAAATTATCAATCAATAAAATTGTGGTGTATGCTCTGAAGCAATCTATATGCTTTCATTTAATGGCTAAACTTCTGTCTTTTTGGCGCAAAACTATGGTCATGTACTGATGCCATGTGAGGATAATGGATACACATCTTATGACTTGATTTTTTCTCAAGGAATAGAAAGAAAGAAACAAAGATAAGTAGGATCATAAAGTTGTGTGATATATTTGTTTATGCTATCAACTTGGTCGGCTAGAGAAATCTTACTGGCGAATGGCGATTACTGACCATGTTAGTTATTCAAATGTATTTGACATACTTCTATACTATCTCGTGTATCATATTGGCTCAGTTCCTTGTTTTACAAGTCTCATTGAATAGCGACTTTTCCTCATGTAGCATACGCGAATCATGTAATTGTGTCTTGCCATTTCAGAGCTCATTCCCATAAAACTACATAAGGATTTTGGTTGGATTGTGAAAACAGTCTATGTGGATAATCTATAGTAAAATCTATTACATACAGTTTTTGCTATGCTTCGAAAGTAACTGCTATAATTGCCAATTTAGGATTAGCATTTTCCACCTAACATCACTGAGCACTGTGCTATCAAAAATTTTAAAACATTAGTGAAAGTACCCTAGAGGGGAGTGAATAGGTTAATTGCTGATCTAATCCGATATTAATGCCAAATTAAAACTTTACAATTAATATATCCTAACAATGTGATATACAATGAAATAAACAAGGATATAAAGTTAAACAAAGAGCAATATAAATATGAGACAATAGGCGATATGAAAATATGCAAGAATAAATGCGTCAATGCCAAACACAAACACAAAGAAAATGATCACGGAGTTCGGTCGACCCACAACCTACATCTCCTCTCCTCACCCTCAAGGAGAAACTCCACTAACCCAAAATAACTACACAATCGGTTTTAAACACTCACCGATAAACGTTTACAACTCATACTATTATCAATGCACAATACACTCCTCTAAGTGTTGGCTAGCCCATGTCACCTTTCTCAAGTGCTCGGAATCACATCTCCCTAGGATTTACACCCGATGCCACTCCTCTTGGAATTGATCCCGTCTCTCACCAACCACTTCTCTAAGTGTCCTTTTGTATTACAATGTATTCTCTCAACAATAAGGCTCAAATACAAAGGCTTGTTCTCTAATAAAGACGAGAACGAAATTCTAAGCTCACTCTCAAAGATACAACCCCACAACCCAAATGTATACAATATGTGAAAACACTAACGACTCAATAGGTTGTGTCATGTGTGTGTAAACAATGAGTATAATCAAATATAAACTCAATTCAATCTAGCATAAATGTATAAGAATCAAAAATAATAAATTTGCTAGAAGATGAGTTTAGAGAAAACTTCTCTAAAACAATCAAGAGATGTAGATGTTTGAGGTTGAAATCCTCAAGAGCGTTGTTGCAATAATTCTCTTGTGAAAATCTCTTCACACAAACAAACCACAATTGATTTTTCTTTGAAACCCTTAAACAAAAACTTGTAAAATTTGTTCTAAACTACCATAGTTAAAACTAAGTATTGAGGGCTATTTATAGTCTCTCAATATAACACCCCAAACCAGAGAAAAGCACAAAAACGAGGCAAAACCATAAAAAAATAAAATCTGGACAAAACTAGATGTTATTATAACAGACACATTTTCGATCGACTAATGGTCAAGCGTCGGTCGACCGAAGGATACGTATCGGTCGACTGATACATGTGTATCAGTCGACTGATGACCCTAAGAAAATAAACGCTGAAAAACTTCTCTAGTCGGCCGACTGGTGGTCTCATGTCGGTCGACCAATTGCTATCGTCGGTCGACTGATGGAGTATTATCGGTCGACCGATTGACAGATATCCAAATACTGAATTTTTTTAGAATATCCGACTTGTAAATTCAATTTAAAATAACAAATAAACTCTAAAATTAGTAAAATTTTGGGGAATGTTTACAAACATGAAAACAAACATGTTGGAGAAGAAATTTTTGAAATCTCATTAACCGTTTGTGAAAACTCGTTATTTTGCAAAATCGTCAAAAATACGAGTTCGTTCAAAACACTTGATTTTGACAAAATGATCTCAAATAAGTTTGAAACTTCTTTTAAATGGATTAAAAGACTTTATAAAAAATATTCAACAGTTATATTAAGTCATTAATCCACAACACATTATTTTGCAAATCGTTAAACCATACGAACTTGTTAAAACTTGATTTTGACAAAAAAATTTTCAAATAAGTTTTGAAACACTTTAAAATAGATTTATAGACTTGAGGAAAGATATAAAATCGTGTTGTTAAGCCTATAATCCAAAACGGCGATAAATCAAAAACCAATGTGTGTGTATGATTTTTGAGCTCCAAGTATTAACACACAAGGTATAAACCTAAACACTATACCCAAGCAAATTGATCTTCAATAAAGCTCGTCTTGGTTGCGGATGAAACGATATTGGATCTTGACTTGAAATGCAAAGCTTCGTTCCGATTTCCTTCCAACCTCCTTTGAATATCATCGTGAACGCGCAATTCCATCCAACCGCTAATGGAGGATTTTTGTGTAGAATACTTAACAAACAAATATAAACACTCGACAAACGTTGTTAGGAATTGTTTGTTAATCATCAAAACTAGATTAGATAGTAGGCTCATAAACATGAGACTTAACAATTAGCAATATCATACCTTTTATTGATTGCAAGTCGTTTTCTCTTATTGCGTGGATCAGTCGGGACAAGGTCACTATTGATCTTATGGTCAGCGCCATAACCAAATTGTCCCAATCCTTGTAGGTTTGAAAATGAAATCAGATATATAGCATACAATTAAAATAATAAAGGAGACTGCACACAACAGAGCTAAATGGAAGAAAAAGACTCATTTAAACAACCAAGAAGTTTTGGATAGAGGTTCTTTTCATCATTGTCATTGTCATACGACTCATACCATACAAGTAAATTAGTAATCTTGGAAGTATTATCTAATATGATAAACCATGCTAAATCTGGCTGAGCTCAGGTTGATTCAGGTTGACAGTCTCCATTTGAGTTATGAATTCACCTAAACACCAAGCTGGAATAGTCAGTTGCGGATTCTCAGGTACCGCTGAGCCTAACCTGAGCTAAAAAAATGTCAAGCGACTAGCGGCATTTGTTTGGTTAGGTTTTGCTTAGGTATGTACCGTATGTTGAATTTGAGGTTTTGTGGAGGCTAATGTGTTGTGTGCGCGCTCGCGCACGGTTATGTGTTTTTCTAGGTGGTGGCTTGCTAGAGTTTACATACTGTATGTATCATTTATTTAATCATTTATTTGTCTTCTTGTTTGTTTGTTTTTTAATACTTCATTCATTTTGTTGTCATGCGTGATTTGGTGGTTTTTGTATTTGTTAATTTTTTTAAAGTTCTGACCTATTGACTGCATGTAGATATTGTCCGTGGCAGTCTACAACCACTACAAAAGGATCTATCATGATTCCTTGACCAGGTGGTTTGACTATCCTCTCTAATTGAATGTGTTTTGAATGACATTTTTTCTGTAATTTATATTGTATAGCTTGTGCTCAAGGACTTCTTATTCTGTGGCTATTTTAAGGGTTGGTTTGGTATTGCTTTTTTTTGGGAGCTTCTGCTTATTTTTTAGAAGTCAATAATGGTGTATGGTAAAATTTTATTTTGCATGCTTATTGAAATTGCTTGTTGTTAAAGGGGTGCTTTTAGAAGCAACATCAGTATGCTTTTAAAAGCAATTTCTTTTTCTTTTTTTAAGTTTTCATACTATATATGAACTTTTATCTTTTGACAATAATTTTTAAGCATAGTTTTACCAAATATCTTGCCTACTTTTGGAAGTAGCTTTTGATATATGATTACCAACGGCTATTTTCCGCAGCTTATATAAGTTGCTTCTATAAGCAACTTATTATAAGCTCTAGCAATACCAAACTGGCCCTAAATATGTATTTCTGGGAAAATGTGACTGTACTAACATTATTCCGTACTGAACTTAGGTCTGCAGGAGATTCACAAAATGGTGAAGCTAATGTAAATGATGCTGATGCAGTGGAGCTTGAAAAAAGCAATGTTCTATTAATGGGCCCAACAGGCTCAGGTATCTACACCGCTTTGTTACATTCTCTACAAGTGTTTGCTCTTCTGAGAATGCATGTTTATTCTGTTTTATTACTATTTATCAATATTATCATGCATGATGCACGGAAAACAATGAGAACGACCTGTCTTTTTTCCTGTTGTTAGAAAGACCCCTGGAAGATCCTTAAGTATATAGCAGATGGTTCTTCTAGGGGCCTGATGTTTTTCGTAACTACTCGTGAGGAATGTGGTAAACTATCTTGTTATTTAAACTTATTGTAACAAATAATGAATAAAGATCAAGGTTATCTGTTAAAAGGTAACAGAAGCTTGGAGAATCTAAATAAATAAATAAAAGAAGAAAAGAAGAAAAAGAAAGAAAGAAAAAGTATATTTACTCACGAACGGTAAATTACCTGTAGATTATGGTTTCGTTGCAACTCACTGTAACCGTTGCAATTCAGCATAATAGGTTGTCATGGTTAGTCACTGAGTAGTCCATGTTCCCCTTCTCTTTAATACACTTTATTGTTGCAAGCCATAGTTGATACTGGATGATTGTGGACCTTCTTCTCATCTTATTTCCTGCAGCCACGACAACATCATCTCCTTTGTTTATTCTTTTCTGCACTCAAAACAGCCCCCCTTTCTCTCTTGTTTTTCCACCGACAGCCTCCACAAGCCAACCAAAATCTTTCCAGTCCTGAACTGAACCAAAACAGCCCCATCAGAGCCCCAAAAACTGCCATTAGTACTAGTTTTTCTCTCCTGCTGCAGCGACGTCACGACCCCTTCAACTACCCCGGAAGCTTTCGAACAATTATCAAAGCAATCATGTTGAGACTGAATCACTCTGGCTGCTCCCCATCCAATAGTTTTTTCTCCATTTAACTGAAAGTTACTCCTTTATAAGAGAAATTGTTAGTAGCCATTAGCTTGAAGAAGTACATTAGGTTCCTGTCCAAAATCCTAGTTGATACGAGACATCTCTTGCAGTCATAATCTGGCTTCAAATATCCTATTTCTTTTATTTTTGTTTCGGGATTCAGGGTAAGGTCAATCATCCATGTATAGATGACAAAGGATTTATACGAAAATTTTCTCCATGCAGAATGGTTAGTGATATATTGGCTAGCTGTAACTATTCTTTCATATTTACTTATACACTTGCACATTTCTTCAAGGACAGGGAAAACATTACTGGCAAAAACCTTGGCGCGTTTTGTGAATGTTCCCTTTGTTATTGCTGATGCAACGACTCTCACTCAGGCAAGTCTCTTTCTTCCTTCTTTGGTTCTGCAGGAATTGCATTTGATTTTGATGACACAGGTTATTTTATCTTATGTTAGTAGAGTTAATATTTGAGACCAGTGATGTAACATCGTTATCCTGTGAATTTGCTTTTAAAACTGGATGATCCTGTATTTGTTTAATTGTTTTCTTCAACTTCTTGTATTCATCTTTTTAATTTCTTCTCAGATTTATAATTCAGTGCATTTTATTTACTTTAATTTCTCATTCTCAGGACTCTGGCAACATATCATGCATGTTACAACAAAATTTTAATTTAAGAATTATAAATTTAGTGCTCAATTTTACAGGGATAGTTCTCCGTTTATGGCATTAGCAAGCGACAAAAATGTACCCTTTGTACTAATGTAGATTTCAATATTTCACTGTTGATAATATGCCCGAAATTACATATTCTATGGCTTTCTCAGATGCCACAAAATTTAAAAACAATCGATGTGCTGCTTATGATTGAAGCTCGCTTTTATTCATGCTTGCTAACTTATAATTGGTATGGTATGGTGTACAGGCTGGATATGTCGGCGAAGATGTGGAGTCTATATTATACAAACTTCTAATGGTATTTTCAAGCCTATCCTAGAAAGCATGACATTGATGCTTTTTTTGTGCCTTTCTTCATTGCATAAGTTACTTTCTTGATGTGTTCTCTGTTCCTGGCAGTATGTAATACATCACTTTTTGTTTCTCTTCTGTTTTTTTTTCTTTTCTTAGCAATAGTGTTAGATACTGAGAAACAAGAGTTATCTATTATCTTTGTTAGGGCATGGTTGATACATATTCTGGCATTTAGGCAATGAAGCTAATGACAGGTCGAAGGTCATTTATCACTGAACCAAAGTCAGGATAATAGGATGTACTGAGGGTCTGTTTGGTTTGAGGAAGTTGCAATGCAACTACAATTACAATACGGAAAAAAGGAAACAGAAAAAGGTTGCAGTTTCAGTTGTGAAAAGGGGTTGCAGCCAAGCAAATGGTTGCAACTGCGACTCCAACTATTTTTTACTTTCCAAATTGCAACTGAAGTCCAACGGTAATTTTCCACGAGTCAAACAAGACGTATTTGAGGCTGTAAGTGAGTGTTCCACTAAGCTCTGTGAGGTGGCCACGAAAGAGTGAGTCAGTGCCGTGTTAAATCTGTCAATGTTAAATGTAGCCTTCATCAGGAATGATGGTTAAGTATTCATAATTTCATTTCTTGGACATCCAAATAGCTAAAAGAAGCTTGGTGCTTAGCTTAGGCTTATAGCTCGTGTTTAGCTCTTCGCACTGAAGCGTATCTACTAATGATTAATTCACTTTCTATGCAGGCTGCTGACTTTAATGTGGCAGCTGCTGAACAGGGCATTGTATATATTGATGAAGTGGATAAAATTACCAAAAAGGTATTTTTAATTCACATGAGTGATGAATATTAAAGTTTGAACCTTTAGTTGTGCTTTTTATTAAATTTTCTTTTTGTTGCATTGGCAGGCTGAGGGCCTCAATATTAGTAGAGATGTGTCTGGTGAAGGTGTGCAGCAAGCATTGTTGAAAATGCTGGAAGGAACTGTGAGCCCCTTCATACTTTCTAAACATTTATCTATTTATGAGTGATCAAGATATATCTCATTATCATTCTATGATTTTCTTTCTGTGCATATGTGAAAAATAAAATATGAATTTAAAGTATGTTGTGTTACATCAGTAATATTCTTGTTCGATTTTCAATTAGCTGAATGGCTGCGTAATATTAATAGCTTACATTTTAATTTCTGAGGATGACTTCGTTCCTCAGTGGCCAACTACGTTAATTTTTGATTGCTTGTATGAGTTAGTTTTTCACATCAGGATGGTCGTAAAAAAAAATTTAAATCTTGAAAGTGGTAGCAGCTGGTGGTATTATTTCCAATGTAACTGTTACAGTTGCATTCTATATGTTAAAGACAGTAGAAAAATTGAGGTGCTTGTCCATCATTGTATGACAAATTGGGAAAAGCACTGAGTTGTAGTGGATATTAGTTTCAGGTCTACTCACAGCAGGCAGGATCATATTGCTTGCTGTATTTCCATTTATTTCTCTGAGATTGATGTTCAAAATATATTCATCGGCTTGTCAAAGAAGTCTTTTTGTGATTCTAGTCTCTTGCTGTTTACATTTCCAAAAATTTATTTGACGTCATTAAAATTGCACGATCTTTTTTGAGGTTGAATTAGTTTGATTTTTCTCTCCCTGAAGTTCTATTGTATACTGCTTGAGTAGGTTGTCAATGTGCCAGAGAAAGGAGCTCGCAAGCATCCGCGAGGAGACAATATCCAGGTACCTTTACATTCATTAACAAATTTGTTAATGTTGTAAAAAGATTTAGAAATGTCATCATATTCTTGATATATGCTTCAATAGTTTATTCTTCTTGAAAGGAATTAGATTTTCAATATGAGTTGCAGCTTCAGTAATTTAGCTATTCTAATCGTAACATCCTGTCGTCTCATTGATTAGACTGTTGTGTCCTAAGACAGCTTCTGTTAGGTTATGAGTTATTACTAGGGTACTCTGTCATTGTTGGGAAATTCTTTTTGGTAATTTATGTCATTATGCTAAAAATCCATCGATAAAGAAAATATGGCAATTATCAGGAGTAGATATTCTATTAGAAACCCCCCCATAGAATGGGTTGTTCTATACCGTTCCTGAGCAGTTAGAGGGTAACTTGGGAGTTTTAGCTATTTTGATTATGGTGCAAACTTCCTCACTCCTATAGGGGTGGTGCTGATTTTAAGGAGATTGGCCTTAGTTTCTTCTGAATCCTGATAATGACGCTAAATTTAAACCGTACATGGTAAAATAATTTAAGTAACAAATTTGTTAAAGCATGACAAAACTAATGAAGAAATAAATGGGCTTTGTAAATAGAAACCACAAGTGGTAACCTGATGCAAAGTAGAATACACAGTTGCACCAATGTGAAATACAATGTGTCCTCTCAATTCATATTGTAATTTGAATGAAAATTCATTTTAAATAGATCCATGACAATATAAAGAGTTTTTCTTGCTGGAGGTTTATAAAACCTTGTATCCAGTTCATGGGAAAAAATTTGATGCATTACAGTTAGGACTTGGAAAATTACTTAGTTTTCGAAATATCAAATTTAGCTGTGGGGCCCTTGTATATATATTTGATAATGTCAAAACATTTGTCTTCCTTGGCAGTTAGTCCTGCATTCTCTGTGAACGCTGAAAATTTTGTTCCAAGCTGATCCATTCCATTTCCTTCATCAGCTTTGCCGAAGTCAGCATACAGAACTAAACACATTGATATTATTTCCCAAAGCTTTCTATAAGAAGAAAATTAACATTTCACGTTTTATGCTGTCCATTTTCATGCCACTTACTTTGGAGGCCTTGCTGCAGATTGACACCAAAGATATCCTCTTTATATGTGGGGGTGCCTTTATTGACTTAGAAAAGACCATCTCAGAGAGGTTAGTTGACTTTTGCTTCTTCTGTACTTGATTCTACAACTTCAATATCCTAATGTTTTTTATGGTCAACTAGGCGGCAAGATTCTTCCATTGGTTTTGGAGCACCTGTGCGTGCAAGTATGAGGAACAGTGGCCTAACAAGTGCTGCTATAACTTCATCTTTATTAGAGACGGTAAGTATTTTCCAAGGAGTTCCTGAGAGAAACATGCTTCTGGAATGTCTTTGAGCTGAGTATTCTGGTGAAATACTTAAGGGTGCTACTTCTTCTTTCCAGGTTGAAAGTGGTGACCTCATTGCATATGGTCTAATACCAGAATTTATTGGGAGGTTTCCAATACTTGTTAGCTTGTCTGCTCTCAATGAGGATCAACTTGTTCAGGTAAATCATATTTCATCTAGATGCTAGCATAACCATGTGTCTTGATAGTTGACACTAGTTTCTCTTATTTCTACATGTATTCTTTATCATTGACAAATTATTTTCTTGTAGTTCTCTTTGGAAAAACATTTTCATATGACATAATTGAATATTTTGAGACTACAGTGGCCTAGTTTTGTTATTCCCCCTGTATTTTCAGTAGTCTGACTAGAATGTTTCATTGATGTTTTTTCTTCTCAGATTCTTACAGAACCCAAAAACGCACTTGGAAAACAGTACAAAAAGTTGTTTTGTATGAATGATGTAAGTTTTGGAGTTGAGATGTTCTATGTAGTTATATATTCACATACAATGATCAATTGTTCTTTTTCATATGGACAGTAAAATATCTGAGTTCTGCAGATCTGCTTGGTAACTTTTATATTTTTGAGTGATGTTTGCTTTTTGGTTCCAGGTCAAACTACATTTTACTGAAAAGTCCTTGTGGTTAATTGCAAAGAAAGCTATGGGTAAAAATACAGGTGCTCGAGGTCTGCGATCCATATTAGAGAATATTTTGACAGAAGCAATGTATGAGGTAACACCAAGTCCTATCTGCAGATGTTTTTGCTTCCGTTCCTGTAGAAATGGGCATTAAGTCGAGTATGCTACAGGAAACATCTTTCTAAAGTATAAACCTCACAATAGCTGTCTAGAAATTGGTGGAGAACTATGGTGCATGGTATGGGTATGGGACACGGAAAATTTGTAAAGGGTTGGGTATGGGGACAAGGCTATAAATATGTATGTTATGTATTTTTGTAAGTATTAATATTAGTAATTTACATAAAATATCAATGTTGTTTTTTCATTTACATAAGATCAATATATTAGAAATAAATGTGAAGTGTCGAATATACATCCAAGAAGTGTATGAGGACTTTTAAATTAAATCATGCCGTATATAATTGAGTATACACTTGAACAAATGTATGCATATATTCGAGAAGTGTCTAGGAAGTTTGGGTACGGCTTCCAAATAGAAGTACCCAGATAACATAGATGGAGAATCTACTGCACGTTCAAAAAAAAAAAGATGTGATTCTTGCAGGTTGCATAGGTATAGTGGGTTGTGTTTCAGTATTAATGGATTAATAGCATATTTTTAAAGACAATTTTTTGTTCTATTTGAATATCATTTCGTAATATATAGAAATTTAATTTTCTTTTGAAAAGCACTCTGCAAGACGATATCGCTATGATTAACGATTAACAAAAAAAAAAGCATTAATGTCAAGTAATGTTAAAAATTGGGTTATTTGCATATATACCCCTTAAATCCTGTGTATTTGCAAAAATACTCCCCAAATCTTAGTATTTGCTAAACACCCCTTAAATCATCAACTTTGTGAAAAAATACCCCTAAAATCAACAAATCATCAATTTGATGTAAAGATTTCTATTTTGTTGATACTTTTTACATTGTGATTACAAATTAGCTTATCAAAGTTGATGATTAATTGCTTTTGAGGGTAATTTTTTCCAAAATTGATGATTTGAGGGGTAGTTTTGCAAATACTGAGATTTGAAGGGTATTTTTGTAAATAACCATAATTTAAGGGGGGGGGGGTATGTATGCAAATAACCCCTAAAACGGTTGTCACTGGAGTTAAGATTAGTGTCATGAAGGGCGACTAGGTGAGAATGCTGATATGCATATTGATAAGAAGTATTTAGATAAATTAGTATGATTTAAGGGGTTTCGTAATGGTTATGTTTTAGGGTATTAGGTCCATTTTGAGCAGGTTTTAGGAGGAAAAATAGAGTAAATGGGTTTCAAAGCTTGGTTTCCAGGTTGGTTAAGATGGGGCTTCGGGTCCACTGACGTATTTGACCCCTCGAATTTGCCAGTTCATTTTAATTATTGTTTGATGACATTACAAGTCCTCCTTCCTCTTCTGTTCCTGACTAATCAACAGAATTGAAGAGATAGATTCCTTATATTGTTAACCCACTTGATCATCTCTCTTCTGCAGATTCCTGATGTGAGGACAGGTAAGGAAAAGATAGATGCTGTTGTGGTAGATGAGGAGTCTGTTGGATCTGTAGATTCCTGTGGATCCGGGGCTAAAATTCTTTACGGGGAAGGGGCAATGGAAGACTACCTTTCTCAATGTCAAGAAAAAGATTCTGTGGTATGTGTCCATAACTCACACCATGCATGCATAAAATTGTGCTTACTATTAATATTGACTGTAGTCAAAACTAGTTTCTATTACATTTTTTGTTGTTTTTCCAGTGTATATACATGGATGATATTGATGTTAAGTAATGTGAGAGTTTATTTCTAATTTTATCCATTTTCTCATTCCATGCTGAAAATGAAATGACCTCAATAGTGCTGGCTGAGCTTTGTTTGTTGATTTGTGAGCACATGTAGAATGTAGTTGGATGAGGCAGGCTTCATTAGGCCTCTACTGCATAAAAAGAGATAAAAGTGAAATAATCTAACCAGTTGAGCTGTCTGGTTAATTTTGTTTTCTTTGCTTTCAGTCTCACCAATTGACTACCATTCTATTTGAGCAGATAATAGTAGTCCCTAATAAAAACAATAGGTTTTCCTGTCGACTTGTCAGAATTATTGGAAGCCTTTTAACTTGGCCATAATTCTAAAAAGTACATTAATTGAAAGATTCTCATGACTCATACTATGTGACTTTAGGAGAGGGTAATTGAGCACTAAGGAGACAAGTATATCTAAAAATCAATTTGGTTTTAGGCCTGGAGGTCAACTATGGAACCAATACATATTTTGAGATGGTTGATGGAGAGATATAGAAAGAAGAGAAAGGATCTAAATATGATTTTTATAAATCTAGAAAAAGCTTATGATAGAGTGCCTAGAGAGGCAATGTGGTGGGTTTTAGAAAAAAACATGTATCTAGTATATATATTGATGTGATTACACATATGTATGATAGAGTAGCAACTAGAGTAAGAATTAATGAAGAAGAGACCAAGTTGTTTCCTATTACCATAAGTTTACATCAAGGGTCAGCCTTAAGGATGTGTTTGGATGGAGGGTAGGAGAGAGTAGGGGAAGAGAATTTGGAAGTTCACTATGTTTGGGTTTTTTTGGAGAGGGATAATGGAAGAGGGGAAATGAAAAAATCACAACATCCCCCTCTAAAAATAGGGTGTAGAGGAGGGAGAGGGAGGGGAAATAGTCATTAAAGATGTTTGACACTTTATCACTATGGATCAACGGTTAAGATTTTATTATGATAAAATTTCTTTCACTTCCCTTCCCTTAGTTAAAACTCTCACTCTCAAACATAATGTAAGCTCTTATCTTTTTGCATTAGTTATTGACCAACTTACTATGCGTATTCAGGATGAAATCTCATGGTGTATGTTATTTACGGATGATATAGTGGTAGTTGATAAACTTAGATGTATAATTTCTATAATAGAAAGGTGGAGACAAGCTCGTGAATCTAAAAGGTTTTAGAATTAGTAGAACAAACATAGAATATATAGAATGCAATTTTAGTAAAACTAAGAAAATAAAAGAGCCTATAGTGCATATCGATGGTTAGGAAATATCTAAAAGTAATCATTTTCGCTATAGAGGATCAATCATTTGGTATGATGGTGAGATTGAAGATGATGTTGCCATCGAATCAAATCGGGATGGTTGAAATGGAGGAGTGCTTCGGGAGTCTTATGTGATCGTATTAACCGATAAAACTAAAGGAAAAATTATATAGCACGGTTATAAGACCAACAACGTTTTATCAGTTAGAGCATTGGACAATTAAAAAACATGTGCAAAAAATAAGTGTAGCAAAAAAAGGATGTTGCGATGGTCTTGTGGGTATACACTAAAAGGTGGGATAAGAAAAGAGTGCATTTGTAGTAAATTAAAGGTTGTTGCTATTGGGGATAAAATGAGAGAGAATTGATTAAGATGGTTTGGTCATGCACATGGAGTCTTCTTAGTGCACTGGTTAGGAAAAGTATAGTATTATAATTAATGGGACTAGGAGATCTAGAGGTAGATCTAAATAAACTTGATTGGAAGCAATTAAAAATGATATGATGATGATTAACTTAATGGAGGAGAGTTCTCATAATAAAATGGAATGGAAGAATAGGATTCATGTAGCAGACCCCAAATATTTGGGATAAGGGCTTTGATGTTGTTGTACATTAATTGAAAGATTACTTTCCACTTTCCAGTTCATCATTGGAAAGTCATCCTCAATTTGTCTTCAATTTTGATTGGAAGGTTAGGTCGTTAATTATAGTCTCTTGTTTGAAACGTTTACTATTTCGTGGGATGATTAGTGGTTAATTATAGTCTCTTGTTTGAAATGTTTTCTATTTCGGTGGGTTAATTAGGTATGCCAACTATCTGACAGCTTCACTGTGCTGCATGAATGAATTTTCTGACGAATGTTTGTTGAACCTTTAAACCAGCAGCCTGTGTTTTTATAGTGTAAGGAATTGCAGCCAGTAAGCTTCTATTATGATGTCTCTCTTTGTCTCTTTTTTACTCAGATGATTTCACTTTTAAGGATCATTAAGACCTCGTTATGATGTAATGTTAATATGGAAAGTCTAAACGGCTGTTATGTGGTAGTTCATCCCTTTCCATTATATCTGACTTCATATGTTACACATCCTTGGTCTTAGCCAATTATTGAAATCTAAACTAGCGTGTTGTTTTATTCCAGACGACCCTCGAAAGATCCGAGGGAGAATCTGAGGTGGAACAGGAGCTTCCTTCTAGAGCTGTCAGCATGTAAACCTTCTGACAAGAAATGTCAATCCTGTACATAAGTAAGTTCATGTTTACATAGTCCTGTAATGCAGTTCTAATTGGCTGCCCATCCAATATCGCAACATTTATTCCCATATTTAATGAAGTATACTTCAGATTTCATAACAAGACACTGCAAATTGTTCTCTCTTTAGTTCAGATGTGCATGTTTTACACATGCCAAGTGACCCAGTCTGAAAGCAGGCTCTCATATGAGGCTGAGGCTAGTAACTAGTACTGATGTCAGACCATTTTATTCGGAGATTCAACAAATCAAGTGTATAATTGGGTCAGGGATCAGTATTACATGCCCTTGTACCATTTTAGTCCTTAATGCGCATTTATTTGGTCCAGGCTGAGGCTGAGAGTACATGGTGTTTAAAATAACTAAGGTCTTAGATTAAGAGTTGAGTCTGCCCCTGGTGACCGTGTTTCTTTTTCATCTTTTTAAAATATTTTTTTAACCTTTGTTCTCATGCAATTTTATCCTTGTTTTAATGTTATACTGCATGCACATCTCGTTTTGGTCTTTCAGTATTTATTGCTCCGTGAGCTAGCGTTTGGATGCATCTTGCAATATCTTGATGATTGGCGTAGATGCGTCAATCCTCTGGTTCAGAAATTTGAGCGTTACTTGCTCTGCTGGGAGAGGATTAAAGCCGCGTAGCCTATAAGTAACATGTTAAGAAAAAAGTTACTGACAGGTTCAGATGTTTGCTTAGCTGGCGGTGAAAGCTCAATCTTCTTTAGCCTTGCCGCTGCAGAACTGGTTAAGAATTGAACTTATTTCTTTTGAGTTCAAAATAACTCGAGTCTTCCTTGCGTGTACGTTGGTAATTTGAAGGAGTAACTATGGAGTAGCTCATTATTATTATTTTTACTATTTACTCAATGGTTTAAACGTAAAACTATCTTACAACTATCAGATCCTTTTGTGTACACGGGTCAAAATTTTTGTTAACTTTTGATTAGAAAACAAGGATATTTACATGAATCTTGATTGACGTGTTAAAGGCTTATCTAATTCATGTCCAAGAAGATGAAAACAATGGAAGAACAAATTTTCAAAACAAACCCATTTTTCAAAATAAACTCATTTAAAGTTTTTATTAGAAAAACCGACTCATTCCCATTTTTATTTCAGAAACCGACCTATTTCGTGGTTACGTCAGCAACGTGGTCACGAAATGGGTTGGTTTTTTTTTTAATGTCACCTCTAAATAGTCGGGGTTGCTAACCCCGACTATTTAGCCAACCCCGACTAATTTAGGGTCATATCTAATTGCTTGGGGTTTGCAACCCCGACCATTTAGTAGAGGAGAAATTTCCTACGACAAAATGATCGGGATTAGGAATCCCTATCA